CCGCCCCGCCCCGGGCCCCGGCTCTCGGCAGGTAAAGCTGAAACGCCCCGGCCGGTGGCCGCTGGGGCCTGCCCGGCCCGGGGTGGTCATGCACAGGCTCCTGAAACTAGATTTAGAAGGAGCCCAGTGTGGCGGAATTTAGGAATTTCGCTTTGGCGGGTCGCTGAGACATGCTCCCGTGAGCCTGAGGACATCCCCTCTTTGCCTCAGTTTCTCCAGCTGCAAAGTAGGTGAATAAACAATATTTGCTTTTTTGCCGCTCGGGCTCTTGTAGGCAGCAGCTGATGAATATTCATAAAACATCTTCGCTTTCACAGCCCTGTGTAAATGTATTATTTTTATACCGTGAGTCTTAGAGCACCAGTTCAGGCTGCGTGCTGCCTCCCAAGCGAACGGCTCGCGCGTATCTATTCCCTTTTCAAAACCCCAGCAGCTAGGGGGAACAGTATCACTTCAAGGAGTTGCGCGTCAGAGGAACGTACGCGTTTTCCTTTTTGGAAAAAATACATTAAAAACAACAAAAAAAAAAGCAAATGCCCAAGAAAGAGTCGGATGAAATACTTGCTGCCCTCGGCTGCCAGTAACGCGGACGCGGTACGGAGACGGCGTAGCAAATTCCGGCGTTCGCCGCTGCTGGAGTCTCATCAAGGCACCTTTCAGACGATGAAGTGTCGAGGACTTTCCATAGCAATCTACCCTAAAAAAGTCTTTTCATTGAAGGTGGCTAATGGTGTGATGTTTGAAGGGATTTTTGAAAAGTGCTTATTTTATGTGTATAAAATTGTAGGTGTGATACAAACCGTTTGCCGAAGCTTGTTGATGGGGGCAGAGTGATTCTCTCAGGGTAAGAGAGGGTGATTATAGTTTTTTAGGTCAGAGTCTAATTATGTAGCAGCGTGCTATTTTGCATATCAGCGGGGCACAAAACACCCTTCGTGGGCCTGCTGCTGCCTGTCACGTGCCCTCTGGAGGTCGTTGATTATAATCAAGTTATGTCCTGCACAGGTGATTAGATTTTCCAGTGTGTCGCAAAAATAATGATCTCTTGCTACTGCAAAATATTTATGTAAAACTGCGCAGACCTTTAATAACTCGTAAGAGAATAACCTTGTTTGAATGACACTGAAATACTAAAACAAAAAAATGAGGAATGACAATAATGAATAGTTTTGAAGAGGCCTTTCCCGGTGCTGCAGTTCCCAGTTTCTTGGCCCAGCGATCTCGTGACCGGGCTTGGGACCCCTCTGACACGCTCATCTATCGCAAACTTATCTCTACGTTGGGATCACTTCCACTGCGGAGATTCGCTCAAGCTGGTGGCCTCCCGCTCCGGCTTGTCACCCTACCTCTCCCCGGCAAGAAATTGCAGCGGGCCTCACAATTGCTGCAGAAAGATTTTAACATTTCTGCTAAGTGCTGAATGTGACATATCTCCAGCGCTGCACCCCAGCATGCTGTGGGTTTGCTCGTGCCCAGAGACATCTCGGTTGGTAGCCAGGGCAGGGACTCCTAGCACAGTACAAGCCTGGTCCATGCCTTGGACACGGGTAATCTGCATCTGGGAAACCTCGTTCCTCTCGGAAAAAGCATGAAAAATCCCTGAAAAACAATCTCTTAGTGGAGGGGAGAGGAAAAACAAGGCTGAAGAAATGTAACTGTAGCCCAAATCTGCTCCAGACGTGAGTTGTTAACGTGAAAATACCTTCTTCCGGTTAAAGTCCAGGCATGCTTTACCTGGATAATTATCAAACCCCAGTGCTATCCCAGTCCATAGTAAAATTCCCGTTTTCTTCAGTGGAACGAGAATTTGGCAAGTGAGGTCTCGCCCAAAGACTCTTGAAGACAAGAGACATTTTTACATGAAAAGAGCTTTTCATTTTGTTTCCCCTCAGCTCAGTTTTGCCCAGATGGCATCCTCCCTCCCGAGTTATCCCCAGGACGTTCATAGTGCAGCTCCTCACCCCCGCTTACCCTCTACCCACGTTCTGCCTTTTTCCCACCCTTCCTGGTTGGATTGCAGAGTCTAAACCAGATTTTTATGCCTTTTATTAGAAGTGTTTTGCCTGCAGAGTGTTTTTTTTGTGATTGAGCGGTGTCACTTATTTTGGCTGTTATTTTGCCTGATTGAATCCTAGGTGTGGCTGAGGTGATCGTCTTAGTTGGGGGCCGTCAGATGATCGGCATGAATCAGCGGGCCTTAACAGCGGTCACCTGCTTAAACCCTCAAAACAACAAGTGGTACCCGTTGGCCAGCCTGCCCTTCTACGATCGGGAGTTTTTCAGTGTGGTTAGCGCGGGAGACAACATCTATCTCTCAGGTATGTAGCAAACCGCACAGGTTGGAGAAAGGTTTCCACCTTGCCAGGGAGACACCACAAGGCAGGCAGGACACGGGGCAGTTTTACCCAGTTGCTGTTGGGGGAAAAAAAAGATAAAGCATGTAACAAACAGCAAAAAAATACAGGAGCAGGAAGGGGCTGGAGAAGGGCAGAGAGATTTCCCTGCTTTTACCCTTCTCCATCTTTCTGCAGCCATAGTGCTCTCGCAAAAGCAGCCAGCAGCAATGTTTTGCAGTCGCAACGTGGAGAAAATAGGTCTGACAACCATCAGGCCTATAAAGAGGCTTCACTGCCATAGTAACACAATTTAAAATATTGGCTGTAGTTGAGTCTAAATGGTGGGTTATGGTATTTGAGACAGAAAGGCTGAACTGTTGAATATGTGACCTACACTTACAGTATTTGCTTACAAGAGCGTTCACGTTTTGTGCTTGTTGTTGAAGCATCTCTTTTGACAGTAGTCGCTAGCCCTATAATCTTCTTAGTTGCAATGAAACTGAGACCACAGTCCTTAAAAAAGGCTTTAACTCCCAAAGTAGCTGCCTACGACTTGTGCCTGTGGGATAAAAGTGTGTCTGTGCATTTGCAGTCTTGTGGTACCCCTCCTCTTGGCTGGAGGGGAAGAAGCAAGTCTTCAGCAGGCAGCATAAAGATGCTCTCATGGCAGCTGAGGACAGGACTGGTGATGGAAGAGGAGTGAGCGTGGGGCGTACGGACACATCTGGGCCGAGGACGTAGCCGGGGGACACACAGGCTGGCACGGCCACGGGACGCCCGGCAGTGCTGGGAAGGGGTCGCAGCTCTTGCTTTTCCCTTACCTGGTTCCCCCTCTCTGTTTGCTGCGGTGAATTGCTGCCCATGGTGTTAAATTCCACTGACACAGCATAGAGGCCCTACAGATTGCTTAGAAAATATTTTGTGACGTTTTTGCCCACAATTGTTTTGCTCCTGGAGGAAAGGCCTTCTGTGAAGGCTTTGGTGAGATGCTGACTTTTAGTTACTCTTAGCTGAGGCACTTCCCAATATGTAAAGCCATTTTGGACTGTGCCTTGCCTGCTAACAAAAGCCAAGGAGACCACAAATCCAAGGCTTATTCTAGCTTTCTGCCCTGGTTCTGGATGAGCAAGCTTTGGTGCTGGATGCTAGAATATGGGTGTTGGAAGTGCTGCCTGGTTTCACCAGAAACCTAGCGGAGTATCTGTGGATGTTTTGCTTTGCTCAGACTTACAAGACACAGGGAAAAAAGGGGGAGAGTGAATGAAAATGGGAATGAACTGAAGCTACTGCACCCCACGCTGCAGGGCAGAGGCTTGCATTGCAAAATACTGAGGAGGGAGCCTGGTTTTGTCATTAAAGCACAGAACCGAGAATCTAGTTTCTTTTCCTGGCTCGACCACTGACTCCTAGTGTGGTCTCAGATAAATCATTTCATCTCTTTGGGCTTCAAAATGAGGGTTGTAAGACACCCACTTAGTAGCTACACTGGAAGCTTCAGTCAGAAGTATAAAAATGGCCAGTATAAATGTTTTACTTGAGCATCTTAAATGCTTCTACAGGAGCTGTACAGCTGCTTCTTCCCTTTACCAGCAAACCAAAAGAAATAAGAAATTCATACCTGCAAATTAAGAGTTGAACCTGCAGTGCAAGCGCTTGCTTTATTCTAAACATGTATGTGTTGCCTCAGTCCATCCCTGCATTGAGCCTCCTAGATTTCAGACTGGCCTATGTCTCGCGAGCCAAGATGGGCTCTGCCTCCTGACACCTTCTAGCACGTGCTGCAGTAATTTAATAGCCTGGAGGTTATTTATGAACATCGGAAACATCCCCTTGTGTACATGTCCCTCTTAGTGTGACATCTTGATTTCCTCATGTCATCTCATTTAAAAAAAAAAAAAAAAAAGCCTTTGGGACGCATGAATAAATGACACAGCTATGCATCATCGGAACAGATGCTCGGTATTGAGGGTGATTTATTTTAATTAGTCGAATGTCATTTGAAGAGTTTTTACTTTGTAACTGGCTTTGATTGCTGCACGCAAAGCTGCTCTCGTTCCAAGATCTCACGTAATTCTCCCCTTCTCTTTCCTCCTCCCCGCGGCCGGCGCCAGGTGGCATGGAGTCGGGCGTCACGCTCGCCGATGTCTGGTGTTACATGTCCTTGCTCGATAACTGGAACCTCGTGTCCCGGATGACAGTCCCCAGGTGTCGACACAACAGCCTGGTGTACGATGGGAAAATTTATACCATTGGAGGGGTTGGCGTGGCTGGCAACGTTGACCACGTGGAAAGGTAAAAGGGGGAAAAATCGTGCAGTTTGCTGTGGCTTTGAAGCTATGCCACGTTAAAGGACACTTTTGCTTTTAAATGTCAGGTCAAATGTACTGCATGTGCTAAAATAAGCTTTTATAACAGCTAAGAAAGGAGGAAAATATGCAGTGGGGGTGGGGGATGTTTTTTGGTTTTTTGGTTGTTTTTTTTTTTTTTTAAAGCTTCAGTGAAAACCATTGTTTCAAAACCGAAGCAAAAAGCTGTCAGTTTGTTCGGTGGCTTGCTCAGGGGAGGGAAGAGCGAAATTAAGCTTCTTTGGACCCGTTACACAGATTACACACTGAACTAATAAACTTCCTTTGAATTTAGGACTGATGAAAGTCTTTACAGACTACAATCTTGTTTATTTTTTCTCCCATGCACTCTCCTGGTAAAGTGCCTCAGCCCTGCCGTGGCTGGCTGGACGGTCCTTCCTCACGGCGCTCTCGCCCTGGAGCTGGGACCTGCCCAGCTCCCAGTAAAGCAACCAAGGCATGGAGACAGTTTTGAATTCCTGGCTGAGAGGGGCTGAATAGAGACGGGAGAGAATGGAAACTTTTCATTTAAAAAAAAAAATCGATATTAAAAAAAAAAAAAAAAAAAAGCAAACCTGTTCTCAAATGGAACTTAAGAAAAGGAAGGAACGCAAACACAAAAGAAACATTTTTGCAAAAGAGAACTCCAAAACCAACTCATTTCCTGTCAACCATAACATTTAGTAAAGGCCGTAATATTTTATGTGCTTATCAATGTTTTCGTTAAAAAATAGAAACCACTTTGAAGTGGAATATAAAAATATTCCATTCCAAAAAGATAAATACAACCCTAACCTCATCCAAACACGTACAGAAGTATTGTGACAATAGATTAGTGATACATTTTTGTGACATTTTTTCCTTTTAGTGAATCCGGCAGCCAAAAATGTGAGGTTTTTCCCTTTTCGTTAGTTTTAAGTGCTGGCTTCCTCAGCAAGATTGTGAAGCAGGCAGTTCCCAGTAAAAGTTACCTTAAACAGGGAATCCAAAAAGGGACATAGAATTATGAATGAAAGGCCCGCAAAAAAAAAAAAAAAGAAAAAAAGGAGTATTTGTAAAAAAGGTGGGATTAAAGATGCCTCCATTCTTTATTCCTGGATTTTGGCTTCGCAGCATTTATGTTCCATTTCTGCAGTATTTTTCAAGTATATGCACACAAATACAGAGGAGCAATAACTAAATTAAAAGAACTTCATTAATGTGCCCAAGCTAAACACTTGGGGAAATTAGGAAATGCCAAAAAATGAAGTGTCCTTCTGTATATTTACTTTTTGGTGCAATCTTGGATAGGGTAGGATATTCCTGTTGTGGGAATTAGTCACGGTTGTACGAGGAAGGAAGCACGTCTGCAGAGCTTTGCATTTGTTGCAGATTTGGAAAGCGCGCGGAGGATGCAGAGCGGCTCGTACCTTAGTGGGCCGGGAAGATCCCGCCCGGGGCTGGGTGCTCACCCTTGCCACGTATCCCTAGTTGTGTGTTCCTCTGTCTCCTCAAATTTGGCACTGATCTGCTTTGGAGATGGGCACCTAATAACAAACGAACCCTGGAAAGGATGCGTGCTGTGGGACAAGGCCGGCAGGCAGCCTCCCCACCGCCCAAATGCCGACCTGGCTCTGGTGGCGCTCTCAGCGAGGCCGGGGAATGCCGGCAGCCAAGAGGGAATAGCAGGGAACGCAACATGGGAGCGTTGTTCCCCTTTCTACCCTGCGGTGACTGTGGGCACCACCCCGGGACTTTGCTTTGGAGAAAGTTGCACCGTTTAGTGGATTTGCATTTTTTTTTTTTCTGATTTCCTAAGACGTTTGTCCTGTAATTTAAGTCAGGCCTTTTTTTTCTGTGAACGTGGGAAAGAGGGGGCCCGTAAAAGAGATGCAGTCTTTCATCCTGCCCCTTGATAAGGAGGAATGGCTAATGCTATCCCAGATAGGTGACTTGATAGACGGTGTTTTCCTTTCAAAATTATTTCTTATTATTTCTATGTATTTCTATTTCTTATTATTTCTTTTTGTTTTTCCCAGAGCCCCTATTTCTTTCTCCACTCTGATTCTTGCGTTCTCTCTTCAGCAAAGCATCCAAAGCGTTGGCCAGCTGCACAAGTCCCAGGTCAAGCAAAGTTGCCCCCTCTCTTTCCCCATCGTCTGTCACCCAAGATCAAGCCCTTCTCACAAGTGGCGCTGCGGCAGCCGGGCCCTGGGCATACGCTGCCCATCTCGGTGAGAGCAGCTGTGCTAGTTTTCGTTTCAACAAGCCCGTCAAGAGACTTTTTTGAGGGCGAGTGGTAGATATCCTCCCTATCGCTTCAGCGCACGCTGTCTCTACCACAATAAGGATGTCTCGTCGTGGGGATTTGTTAAACCCATGGTTATAATTAATCCGCTATTGTCTATGAAGCGACTTGTGCGAAGCGGCAATGGAAAAAGTGCACCATGACCTCTTTTGGGTTATGCCAAGAAATGTGAGAGGTTTTTTTTAAATGTTTTCTCTTCTGTTCTTTGTATTAAAATGACAGTGGGGAATTGCAGAAGCAAAACTTGTCATTGCTTAAGCTGTGCATGTTTTTGGAAAGGATGTTTCAGGAGTCTGTTGTTAGAAATGCAGGTGAGAGAAAGATAACCTGAGCAAACTCACGCTTTTTCAGGCCAAAGCATTTCCCAGTTGGAGCAGCCAGTTAATTTGGGGTGCACATTTCTCTTTGAATACTGTGCTATAGTTTTGGATGGGACACTGAGATACTGTCCGACAGGAGGGAGGAAAAACCCACTTCCCACCAGTGTGCAGGCCCAGAGTGCGGAGGCTGCAGTCTCTCACCAAAACAGGTCTCTGAAGACAGAGGAAATAACATTTTTCTCCCAGTTTCATTCTTGTTCTCCACCTGTTTTGGCTGGAATTTTTGGAATATTCCATCCTAAATGGAATCCTAAAATTTGACAAAGATGTTTTTGTTTCTGTCTTTCGTTAAACAGATAACGTCAGGCCATCTTAACTACCTGCCATTACCTGACTGCACCTGCTACATCTACTGCACTATTGCAAAGCATTAAAGCAGATAGGGACCTTTGGATTCCTAATGATTTATGGGATTAGCTCCCGTGCTCCTTCATCTGTGCTTTCAGTTGTGTCATTGCAGCTGAAGGGTGCAGCCTCCAGAAGAAATTCTGGTGCCACTTGAATCAGTGGGTGTTTTCCCATCAACTTCAGTGGAACTGAGATTTTGACCCTTTATCTGCCATTTGTCGGTAAAGAGACAGTAAAATTCTATTTTGGCAGAGAATATTACGGGCCTATAATAAACAGACAGGTAGGAGTAATTCATTACTCACGTTAAAACAATATATAGTGCCAGACTGGCTGAATTATAAGTCCATTCTTGTGAATATACATGGATATACATTTGAGGAGAGTTATGTTTTTGGAATGAATATTTAGGGAAATAACAGAGCGGCTGCAGCTCTCAATCAAGCCCCTCTGGCAAGTTGCTGTGTGACAAGAAGCGAGTCATTAGGTATCAGGCGAGAGCGTATTACACTTTCTGTCTCCTTCTGAGATATGAGAGGAGTTAGGAGGCGGAGAAATGAAGTGGATCAACGAACTAGGGTTTTAGATAATGGATGGGCCTTGTAATATATGCAATTTGAGAGCCTAAAAGACTGCGTATGCTGACAAGAGAATGTATGTGACTGAAAGTGTGGAAATGTGGGTGCTTTGTGGTTATTATCTGTCTGAAGGACAGAAGGAGATGAATCCCCTTGACCTGACAGCACTTCTACAATAGGGTTGTCTAAAATTGGGAGATTACTTCAGCTGGCAGTGTGTACTTGGAAGACGTTCTGAAAAAATGAAATGTAAAAGTAAGCTTTATAGGCATTATAAACTGCTTCAGAACCCGCTGTTTTATTGATGGCTTAAGAAAATTAAATGTATAGCCTTCTCCAGGAGTAGTTTATTAAGCTCCTCAGAAGAGTCAGAAGAAAATAAAAAAGGCAAAAGATAGGAAACCATAATATGATTTTAAACGTCATGTGAATCATCTGCAGAGCAGATCAATATGACTCTGTACAGCTGTATTTTAAATAGTAGCTTTCCTACAAACAATTAAATAATCTATAAGAAACTGAGGAGTGTTTGTCTCTAAGGTACTGACCACGATGTAAGGATTTTATAAATGTGAATAAACGAAGATACTCGTAAGGCTGTTTAACATGGAGAGAAATTAAGAGGCTGCTTTGGGGGAAGAAGTAGTGTTTTCAGGTACTTAAAGAGATCAAAAGTCAACAAGGCAGACAAGCAAACGAAGCAGCGTGAAGTGAAAGGTTTTTCTGCTGTAGATCTTGAGGTCATATGGAAAGAACAAGAAAGCAGGCACTAAACAAAATGAGTGAAGTAAGGGGAGGATCGTGCCCACAGATGAAATCGTAGCGCATCTGGAGAACTAGCAAGGTTACTTTTGAGTGTCCTCTCCTCAACCCCAGGCTATATTTTCTGCCCAGAAAACGTTCTGTTCAGAACATTTGCTGGCCCTTGGGTGTATATATAACACATGAACCAGAGTACAGTGACTGCACAGGGTCAGGTGAGATGGCGCAGCTCGGTACATGTGACGGGAGAGGCCAGGACGCCTGGGTCTTGCACATGGTGAAAGCAGGGGCCTTGCCCGGCCACGGCCAGGGGCTGCGAGGACTGAGCTCAGAGCAAAGGCAGTTATGCGAGGGCCTTGCGTGAAAGTAGGTTTGAGTCCCTAGCACGCAAGGCCTGCAGAACTAGCCCGTCACGCCCAAGGGAGATGTCCTCGAGGTCACAAGCTCAGTAAATGAAAGCCCTTGTGGTGGACACAGCGGGGCTGGAAGGAGCAGTGGAGGAGAGGGAAGAAAAACCTTTGCTTGGATGGATGCCAGCTCCCATTAAGTCTTCATCTGCGGCTTCAAACAGGGGAATCAAATGTAAAGCTTGACTAATGGAAAGAGATCAAAATGATTAGTTTTCAAATCAGTTCCCTCCCTGCTGGCCCTAGGGTAGAGCTGGGTGTTAAAGGTGGCAGAAGATCCTCCTAGCACTAGTGGCGATGACAATGCCAGCGATGACACAAAAAATGGAAAGGCCAGAGTGTGGAGAGGTAAAGCAGTTGTCATTATTTCCTACCCTGGAAGGTTACAAAGATTCAACTTCATTCATTTTTGAACCAATTTAGTTAATCTGGTGCAAATCCCTGCGTGAACACATAAAGAGCTGACTTGAGATAAACCAAAATGATGGAAACCTGCCTTGCAGTGGGAGACTTAAGTAGCTTAGACTACTTAGTTTATCCCGTAGAAGGTTAAGAGGCGACTTTATTATTTTCTGCAAGTCCATACGTGGAGGAGAGATATTTGATAGCAGACAGCTTTACCATCTAACAGGAGAAAAACTTGCTATCCAGTGGGTGGGAGATGAAGCAAAACAAACCGAGACTAGAAGTCAGGTCTACAGTTTTACAAGGAGGTAATGAACCAGAGGAACAAATTCCCAGGGGAGTGGAGGACTTGATGGATGCAGTGAAATTAGGTATCAGGAGGCCTTCACAGAATCGTTTAGGTTGGAAGGGACCTCTGGAGATCATCTAGTCCAACCTCCCTGCTCAAGCAGGGTCCCCTAGAGCATATTGCCCAGGATCACATCCAGCCTTAAAGGTGCCTATGTCTTATCTTCAACCCCAGGGGGAATTTAAACACTCGGTTAAGAGGATTGCTTTACTGGGCCTGCATGAAATCCAAGTTAGATGCCTGCGTTAGGTGGACAAGAACTCGTTTCCATCTGCTTAGTGGTTCTGAGAAGACTTTTGAAACTAAAGGATGCTTTCAAAACAAGAGGCTTTGCTTTAAGCTGTCCCGTTTGCACCCATATCCAGTAGATTTGCAGCCTTTGTCTTTTAGTGGATGAGGTGAACCTGTTTGGTCATTTTTGGTTCCCCATGGCAGGCACAGGAGAGCAGGAGATAGGAAGGTTAATTCTGTCATTGCAGAACATAAACACAGAGCAGTGAAAGTGGGTGAAGAAAGTGTGTATAGGGGGCCTGGGATCCCAACAGTAAAATTCACCCAGAAAAGGAACTATTTATAATTTGAATCTTTCTCTGACGTTCCTGCAGACCTTGTCCTCACCTGCACCCAACCCACAACAGATCTGGAGGTTATAACCCCTCCTTCTCCTGAAAACACATTAGAAGGATCAGAAAGTCATTAGCAGTAATATATATCTGTCTCAGAAACTGTGATCTACCAGGTACTTCTGCCAGCCAGAGGTGAAGGCAGCACATCTACTCACCTTCCCATTGCAGAGCACCTTACCTGGCCACAGACAGCTCTGGACTCCAGACTAATCATGGTGCTAAGTCGCAGGGGATGGTGTGAGAAAACAGGTATCAGTGACAGATACAATTTATATCCCAGAAGCTGAGGAATTAGAAAGGCACACTAGATTAGTGTTTTTCAAAAATCTCTATTTCTTTGGTGGATTTTGAACCAATTATAACCAATTTCTTAACCATTTCTCATTGAATAATAACAGGCATTACCAAATAAGTTACCAAGCCCAAAATAGCTGAAGTAGGTGTGTTAGCAAAGTGTAACCCGAAAGTAATATTTAAAACTGTTTATACCATGTGACATTTTTGCATAGCTGCTGGGATGGGAGTGAGTACTGCTTGAGTGTTGTGGGCAAATACAAGAGATCCAGCATATGGTGCCTTACATTTAAGAGCTCTTTATGTAGTCAAACATGCATCTGCAGTCTTCGTTTTAGTATCAAACTTTAAAAATTAGCCCAGTGTAGGTGTGCACCTTTGTATGTTCCCAGCACCACATTGTTTAATCTTGTTATAGTTCACCTCTTTGATCGCTTTGTTCTGGATGAATTTAATTTCTCCGTAGCTAATTTAGAGCACTGTAAAATGCTGTTCTCTGTGCTCATTATAAGGGACTTTTCCTCATTTTGTTAGTTAAAATTTACCTCCCTCTTGCTTTTTCTTCATTTGTTTAATGGGTATATTAATTATTTTCAGTTATTAATGCATTTTCATTAATGAAATGTTATTTTGTTCTATCTCCACCATTTACATCTTTTATCCCTTTTATTTCCCCCAAGTCTGGGCAGTGAGAATTTGAGAGGCTACAAAAGGAGAATTCCTCCAGTCACTAAATCATTTTTTACGGATGGATTCTTGGCCATGGATTCATTTAATGTTTGCATATTGCATATCACTAATATCAAGAGCAAAAGCCCTGAATGGATGATGAGAGCTTCTGTTCTTGCAGTCAACAATTCTGAATAATTGCTACTTGGGAAACTCCAATTTGACTGACTATGCCATTACGTGGAAATATTGAAGCCTAAAACTCATATCCTCTTCCACTGTCTCCAAGACTCATTTTACAGCAGCTATTTGGATCCCTGCCACATTATCTTTAAAAAAAAAATTGACGTCTGTACTTGTGACATTGTCTAAAATGAATCTTCATCCATGGATTATTAACTGCACATCCCTTATGGTCAATGGCTTAATTGAATCAGATACTGATGACCTTAAAACTAATTTAGCAGTTTAATGCATGCTCCTTTCTATTTGTTTCATGTCAAATATGGATGCAATGGTGAAATCCTATGCCAGCATTAACATTTGCAGCATCTTGCAGTGGAGTACAGTAGTTTGGTTTGTACAATGGAAATTAAATGGAAGCAACTCATTCTAGCACAACACGTGCATCGCTGGTCAGTTAACGAGAGCAAAAAGAGCTATCGTGTTGCATTATGTGGCAGGTGAGATGCGTTCCGCAAGCTGAACAACTGAAGTATGTTAACGGTTGCCTGCCTGCGGTTGCTATTGGATATCGCTGCACTGATTTGCAAGAATAATCTCGTTGTATACTCATTACTAGAAATTAATTAGTGGAAGACATCTCAACAAAGATGTCCTGAGTTTCTGTAGCTCGGACTATAATGGGATTTGAGAGGCATATACAGAAAATAGAACCAGCTTCCTCTGGGCTTTTATCAATGCTTTAAAGGCTCAGAAAAGGCATTAATTACACTGTTTACCAAGTGGTTGGATTTGTACGGTGTTAGAAGATACATTTCCACCTCTGCTTTTTCCCACTTGTCAAGCTACCTCTCTGTTATATCACAGCCTGCTTTCTCTGCCTGTCTCTCCTGCATCTGCTGTTTACCTGTGGCTGTGTCATCTCAGCTTACTCTGATTGCTGTCGTCTCAGGTACGATACAATAACAAACCAGTGGGAGACCATCGCTCCTCTGCCAAAGGCCGTGCACTCGGCCGCCGCTACCGTCTGCGGGGGCAAGATCTACGTCTTCGGTGGGGTGAACGAAGCCGGCCGAGCTGCGGGGGTCTTGCAGTCCTACATCCCTCAAACTAACTCTTGGAGTTTTATAGAGTCGCCAATGATCGGTAAGGCATTCATGTTGTCAAAGAAAACCCATATTGTGACAGAAATCTCTGCGCTACAGGTATTTTAATGCCTTTGTGGAAAGCAAAGGAGTTGGGGAGGGGGAGATGTTCATAACAGATTGGCAGGAATGCATGGTATAATATACCATAGAGAGGCAATTATCTGGATTTTTTACTGAAGGCAATTGTCACTCATTAATAAAGCTAGTTATCAGCCAGAAGTGATGAGCTCAAAGTAGAGGAGAAAGGAAAGCAGTTATTAGATATGGACAACTAGTAATTTTAGATCCAAAAAATCACAAAATGCAGTGAAACTTCGTTCTAACACCATGTGTTGCTTCATGCTTAAAACAACACCGTTCAGTTAATGAATAGTTATGCATATTTTTGTTAAAAGGCCTTATGTCCTGTAGGAAGTGGAGGTCATTCATTTGTAACTGGAATTTATCAGTGGCATTCACAGTCTGCAATCCCTGAGACAGGTGGATTATTAAAACTGTATTTATTAGTCACGTTTATGACACCCCAGGGCTCTCTTTATGTTTTACAGAATAAAGAGCAAGACAAGAGTGCAAGTTTTCCAAGGTAGCAGCAACTTAGGTGCAGAGTCCCTTCAAAAATTACAGTAGAGCTTAGCAGGTTGCAGCATATCTGCTTTCTTGCTCCCAGGGTGTTCAGGCTGTTTGGGAAACCGGGCAAAGAGTTCAGCCTCACAGAGTTGCTGCTGCCGGGGAAGGGCTGATCTGGCCCCATGCTCAGTGCGAGTGGCTGGAGAAGGAGCACGAGGTCGCTTGTTTAAAAAACATATGGTCTCAGTATTCATCCTGGTAGGGCAAGTATGAGGGGCAATATATAAATTACAAAACTACAGTTACGAGGTTTCCAGGTGAGGCCTGAGCATATCTTAAGGACTAAAATAAGCTGCCCCTTTTTGTTCCAGCTTGTTACAATTATTATGAATCTCTCCTTAGGGTTTCCTAGTAGAAACAGTCCTGAGGAGCTGGTGCCTGCGTGGCTATAGCTTCCCATGCGAAGCCGGCGTTGCTGCTTTCCTAGTCCTTTGCTGCTGTTTCTGTCCAGCCTAACATAACATGACATGCATATGATGCAGCATGAAGTGCCCAGCGGGAGGGCGTTAACCAGCAAAAGTCATGTTTATGTAATACAGCAGGGCAAACAAACCTATTTCCTGGCTTTTTCCATCACATGGCTCCAGCTGCTGCTGTTCATTTAATCCGCTGACTGACAGTATGAGGTTTTCCTGCACTCAGAGCATATTGCAAAAAATGAATGCATTATGCAAAGAGGTATTCCTTTCCCTTACCAAACTAGTGCAAGTGCCACAGGAGCTAAGAATTCATTCCCTGGGCTTATTACACTGTCTAGCAGGCATCAACATCATGCGTGCTTGGAAAAATCATCCAAATCATCCAGAGATGGGTTCATCATCTGTTGTTCAAATAGACTTGTAGTATTTCCTAACAAAAATACATGAAAGACAGTGATGAAGTTAAAAGATGGTATTTGTGGGGGTTTTGGTGTAAACAAAGTTAACTAGTTAAGCAGAAGGCATAAAATATATGGTGAAATGCTGAGTTGCCAAGTATATTTGCTGGGAAATAAATAATGCCAATTTGTTTGCAAATAAAGTAAAATTACACAAAGCCTGAAAAACTGCACCCCGGCGGAGAATGTCTGGGAAACTGAACTGATGCGATCCTTGATCCTCACTAACAGGCTGTGGGAATATTGGAAACGTACTTGTATTTCTGCAACTTTACAAGAACCGTAGTACCATCTGTATTTGTAAGATATCCTCCAAGAACTGAATGATATTCTGAGTGCAGTACAGTCAACCTTCATTTAAAACAAAGAGGGTAGTAGAAGGCAGTCTTGGAGTGCTTTTTATAAAATGGAGATGAGATGAGCTGTGATATGATCATTCCTGGGGTGCTTTGACAGCCTTAAGGCCTTTTTGTGAGTATTTGTGAATTCTTCAGCTATCCCTCTGAGCTAAGCAAACTGAGACATTTGACAGCTAGTTCTGTTGTTTAAGGTCACTCCAGAGATCAGTGAAACCTGTTTGACCTCAAAAAAGATAGTGGATTAGTTAGAAACACCTCAAGCATGCTCAAATACTCAGCCGTTGATGCAGGTATTGAAAGTGTCCAAGCCCCCTAGAGGTTTTTAGACCAGTAGTACCTGTTTCAAGTCACTGAGGTATTTTACAGTAAGTAGTTGGTGAGTTGGCTGTGGCATGACACGCGTTTGAACCCAGAAGATCCATCTCTTCCAAAGCACTGTGTGCCAGCCTAACCCCAAGCAGCACTGGCACCAACCATGGGAAAGGGAAGGGGCATTTTTGGGTCAACCTGAACACAGGTGAAACCGGCTGGATGCTGAAATCCTGTCCATGAAGAACAGAGATGAGGTGGGGACTGACGGCACTTCCATGGAGCTCAGCCTCTGCTCTGCTTGGATTTCTTCTAAGAATACAGAGCAAACTCATCCTCAGTCTCTATTTAATATTCTTCTTTATTCTTGGCCGTAACCTGCTATGAGGTGTTTGCACGTGGATTCCTGTGCAGTAGGCCTGAAACTAGAGTCCCCAGCACATTGCCTGTTGTTGCTGTAGTAGCCTTTGGGTAGGAGCAGGTTTTGATTACACACGTTTGGAGAGGAGATGGGTTTTTTTTTCTGACTTTCCCAACCTTTGCCACTTCTGCATTCCCTTTCTTGGGAGCTGGCAGACACTCCTGCAGCAGTGCAGCCCACAGCTTGATATTAAGGAGGTAATGAAGCTTCCCAGGGCCTTCATATTGCTCGTGGTTGGTAAACCGTCTTGCATGTCCCCTTCTCATGTTCCTAGCTGTAGGAAGTTTGTTGCTTGAGTTGAAGTCCTATGACTTCAGTAAATGAACCTAGCCTACATACTTGCAGCGCCTGCCTTTCCATTTCTTGTTGAGTTGTCCTACATAGCTCTGCTAAAAATGTATTCCATGCCCAGATTCCTAAGATTTGTCTTATTTAACAAGATAGCCATAGACATGCTGAAGTCAGTGACTGTAAGCCTAATTATCTTGTCACTGTGTTTTAGTTCACTTTGTGCCTTCATGCCAGGCCACTAAAATATACTTTTTCCGCTACCCAGAACAGTCCGTGTTTGCACTGGTGGAATTATTACAAGCTTTGATCTAGTGTTTCCGGTTTGTAAGAAAAATAAATAATGTTTATTCAACACTATTATTAAATTTTAAAATCTAATGAGAACTATTGAAATAGAGAGGTCAAAGATCTATGAGCATTTCTGGTTTTCTAATCCAAAAATTTAGTTCCTTAACATGCCATTTACCCCTGGAGGGAACTGTGGAGTTTGCTCTAGATATCAACTCAGTCCTTGCAAGATCACCAGGACAGACAAGTAAGACTTCCCTTCTAGCACGTGTCCACTGTCCATTTAACTGCAGTCCAGTCCTTCCCCACCAGATGAACTGCACCCTTCCCACAAAGGAAGGAGAAAGAGACAGGCAGACAGCAGTGAGAAATGGATGGGGAGCAATGGCAAGCTGGGCCTTTGGACCTAAATATTCAGAGTCTTGCCTCTTCTGTGCTCCTGAAAGCACTGTGCAGAGACCCAGCTGTGTGCCTGCAACAGCCAGCTCAGGCCTGCCTTGGAGAAAACTGACGCTCTGGCACTGCTAACAGGTAGAGCCAGCCTTCAAGTTTCCAGGTGAGCCTGCCCAAAAATATTCTTCTCCCTTCCCCTTCCTGTAATGGGCTTGGCGCCGCATTGCATGTACAGGTTTGACCCAAAGATTTTAGGGAAGCACCATAAGATCATTCATTGCCTACATCCATCCATCTTTTCTTTTCTTAATATGTGTTTGGAGGGAGTTCTGCACACAGAGAGGCATTGTATGTATGCACCTACATGCACGTGTCCCCTTTCTTTCTCTGCAACCGTTGGCCCTTCCTCCCAGCGACGGGCCTCTCTGGGGACATCTGTGGTGTGCAGATATGAGCTCATGCTGTCCCTGCGCTGTGCCAAGGGAGTGAGTTGTGTGGCTTCATTAGCACAGTGCTGAGATGACTGCATGCAGTAAGCCCTCACCCACCTCCAATGGATGGAGTGAACATACCCCATTGAACCTTATTTTTGCTGTAAGAAGTGAGATGAGTGCATTTTGACTCTATTGGAAGATAAAACTCTGTTTTAGAGGATAAAAGTTCAATGCCCATACCCAAGTGCAATGCCTATACCAAGACTTTGCAAACCCCCAAGATGCCCAATTTGACAATATGGAGAACTTTCTTTCCATGAAGATAACCTTATTCTGTTTAGGACTGGCAAGGGAGGGTGCTGAGGGCCCTGAAAGAGCACAAGCGTAGCGTAAGTTTGCTCCTTCCTCTCTTTCCATTTCTCAAGAGGAATTCAGATGTTAAACAAGGTGTTGCCATTCAAATTTGGGCCTCAGAAAGAGCAGACAAGCTGCCCAAGAGAGGCATCTGCATGTTGGCTGAAGACATGTTTGGCACCTTTGCCCTCCAGGATGGTTTTCAGTGTTTTTAGGAACATGATAAGACAGTGCAGGATGAGCCGGACTTCAGTCTCAAGGTCTGTAACAAAAGATCTCAGGACTGTCTCCGAGGCTTTTGTCATTTCATATAAATGTCTGAAACGTGTCCGACCTCAGCTGGAGAAGCAAAGATCTGAGAATGAAAGAAGTATCTGGAAAACAGTGTTATCAGCGTCTTTGTGCTTCTATTGCTCTCTGTTATGTGGCTTATTTTAGTTAAAAAGCATAATGGTTCCCATGAATTTATTTTTTGACTGTACAAGAGAAGACAGATGTATGCCTTGGCTTGTCCATCTCCGCAAGACGGATAGTTCCACGCCTGTGCCATGGATTTGGCCAGCTGTCACTTAGAGGTGTTAAAGCAGTGAGTGCGCATCTCTTCCTTCAACATGTTTTTCTTCCCATAACTAGTTCTCGGGGTTTTTCCCAGTGTTAAGCTTGGATTTTTCTTTCCTTTGTCTCCATTTCGCCTCCATATACGCCATATTCTCCATTCAAAATGATTTTTCCCAGTTCTTGATGTGTTCCCCCTGCAGATATTTAGTCTGCCCTCTACTTAGCAAAATCAGTATTTTCGTATTTGCTTCTTATCGGATATCCTCCCCTTCACTTCCTGCCTCTCTTTTATCTGTCACCGCGCTCTGCTGAACTCTCATTCGTTTCATCCCCATTTCCCTGGTAAATGTGGTGCTGAGAATTGAACCATGTCTGCAGGCGGAGCCCACTCCATTGGAAAGGGGAGTCCCCCCCCCCCCACCACCCCCCCCACCACACACACACAATGCAGCGTTTGCAACTGAAGACAATAGATTTGTGGGACTCTGAAGAGTGGTTCAAGGGCCAATGCCTGGTGGCATGCCCCTGATGAAAATGCTCTGACTAGTTTGGCTTTAATAACCCTTCTCCAACATGAAGTGCTGCCGCTGTTCATTTTAATGCCTCTTTAGGCGTCGACCAAGTGCTGTACTGGAAGGCAACATAAGATTTTTAAGTAATCATGGGAGGGAAATCAGAACTGTGATACGTGGCTATATAATGTATGGAGTTTTATAAGAGTCATAAAACACAACACAGGCAACATGCTGTTGTTACTAAGTTAGGAGCGCACTGGTCGGCTGAATTATCAACCTCATATGAAGTACCCCTCCAGCTAAAGGATTGTGTTCAGGTGCGTACCCCTTCCTGGAATGACTTGTCACTGGAAGAATAGAAATACTTGTATATTTTCCTATGCCAACAGTAAAGGATAGTGATGTTATGATGCTATCCACATGGAGATAAGAGAGCTTTTTATCTATTATTTCCTTTACTTTTACTCTTGCTTTTAATCTCATATGTGCTTGCAGTCCTGGACAAATCCCACCTAAGATTTTCCAACCTGAAATGGATTTCAGTATGTGACAGCCCCAACACTTGGATTTCTTTTTGGGGAAGAAGGATGCTTCACTGTGACCTCTCTCAGTTTCTGTATTTCCTCTCACCTGTCTTGCTCCCCTCCCCTCCAGCAGGCATTTCAAATAACCAGTGTCCTGGCTATATCCTGTGGTAATCCTCTGATCCGCAGGAGCTCACATGCACAACCAATAGCATTGACCAAAATACCCAGCCAGAATATGCTTTTTCAAAATTAGGCTCCTCAACCATCTTGCCCTACTAGCATGTTAAAGACCTTCGGTGGTGAAGGTCTTCAGAAGTTCAGAAGAACTTCAGAAGTTGGAGTCTATGGAGTGTTTGCATATGAGGCTGCTAAGCCTTAGAGAGGACAACAGCCAGGGAAAGGTATGGGTAGTACCAGGGAAAA